TTCGGCCGGCTTATGACCGTGATTTATTAGGCACAAACACTTTCATAGATAACAGAATTATCGTGGTGACCATTGCACCAAGTGAAGGGAACACTTGAAGCATTCATAGTGAACACCTCACAATCATTAAGAAATTTATTAAAATTTATCATGGCTGGAGTCATCACCTGAGAACCTTTCATCTCAAATAACCTACAACTACAAGAGACATCACCATCTTTCTGTTTTCTAACACATCGCCCGTTTGAGTTACCATGTAGGACAACTATATATACCAAATCATCACCATCTTCGTCACAAGATATCATGTCTAATTCAAGTGATTTAATATACTGAGCTTGGAAATCCTCAAATATTGCTTTGGTATAAATATTTCCTGCCTTAACCACCATTGAAACAGGTATTGTCACCTTAGGTAACTTTTGACACAAAGCGTACTTTGCTTCTAACTCCTTATATCGCTTATCATTAAGTACCCTTTCAAAATGCATGAAAAACTGCACCACATCATGGTCCACATTCAAATAGTCTTTTAAGGTAGCATTAAAACTTTCACTTATCTGTGTGGTTTTTACTCCTGCAGACCAAGACCACTTACAGTATGCCATTGCCCATTTCTTCCTTAAATAAAAAATGCTTTCTAACCAAGGATGTCCACGCACATTGTATTCATCCAACATTGAATCCCAAGTAACTAAGAACTCATCTTCCTTCTCATAGTAATCCATAAATTGTGTTAAAACGCTCCTAACTCCACATGTGCACCTAAATAAACTGTTTACATGTTTCATGGCATTTTGCATTATGTGCCATGTGCAAAGCCTGTGATATGTATCAGGCATCACATGTGCACAAGGCTTAGCCATCGCAGCATCTTGATTAGTAAATAAGGTTTTTGGGGCCTTCTTGGACATGGCCTCTAAAAATGTTTCAATTAAACAACCATATAAATGAATTGGCAGTCTCATCGTACAACAATGCTGCCCCAAAAATGGCAATCTCATGATGATGATTAAATCCCACAAACACTCCGAATGGAAGATTTGCTTCATTAGTTTTGTATGTGGTGTCTGTTGTTAATATTATGTTAACTCGCAATTGTACGGGGCAATTAGTAGTATAGCAAGACAAGTACGAGGTCGTACCCACGAAGACTGAGAAGTTAAAACTAGTTATGTACTTAGATTACCAAATTCAAGAAAGTAGGAGGTTATGTCTAAAACAGAATTTAAAGTAAGAGTGGTTGTGATTGTTGAACAAAAGAAGCAAAATGAAATTGCAAACAAAAACAAGTAAACAAATGTAACAAAGAGTGGTTTTAAGAGTTGGAAAACAGATTTTGAGACTAGGGCATTCGAATCACCATAACAATTCAATTCTGGGTTATAAAGATTCAAGTAACAAGTCTAATTCAGACGTCTAGAAGGATGTATGAAGGATATGGAGGTGATTTGAGATGAGCTTGAGTGAGTGGTGATGGCTGAGAAAGAGGAAATTCGTAGGGAAATGGAAGGGAGGTTTTCTGGAGCTGTTTTGGTGATTTTGGGGCAGTTTAGAGTGTTGGGTTGATTGCTTGAGTGTTTGGGGTTGTGGGAATGTATGAGGATGATTTCTGGATGATGGAAGTGTGGAGGATGGCTGAAGTGAATTTTGTAGCTTGAAGACTTCTCTATTTATAGGGCTAAGTGGGAGGAACATCATGATGAAATCCAACAACACCATTCCTCCTTTAATACAATCCATAACTCCTACTTTATCTTGTCTATGTTAGTGTGGTTGGAATCAATC